GCTTAAAGATCGTTTGCCAGAGGGCGGGTGACGCGAGACGCTACAATCGACCCACCGCCGATGAAATTGCCGCCATCCTTCCTGGCGATTCAACAGATGCACCTGCGAATCGGGATATAATCATCCAGCTTCACAACAACCGCCTTCATCAGGTTTCAGCACTGCACCAGGCATATTTTCCTCTCTGTTACCCGCTGTTGTTTCTGCGAGGGGAGGATGGATATCACCTAGGACTCACTCGAAACGACCCTCAACCTCCGGGACCGGATGATGTCTTGCAACATATCCTAGATCCACAACTTGCTTATCAACATCCAGTTCCACCTCATGATCCACAGCTATTGTTGGATCAACCCGACGCTAATGAGATGGATCTTGACGACGACGCTAATGAGATGGACCTCGACGACAACGACAACGACAACGACAACGACAACGACAACGATGACTTTGAGTACGACCCCGAGGAGCAGGTCGACCAGGGCTATAATGATGAAATCCTCAACAATCACCTTAACGACGCTGATCCACAAGCTGGAATGGAAGTCGATCTCGACAATGACGATGAGGGCGAGCATGGGGTGGATGAAGATGACCAGGAGCAAGCTCAAGGCAACAACCCTCGCAGGATCACCATGATGGATTTTTTTGCGTATCGCCTCCAGTACCGCATTGGCGATAGCAGCGAGTATATGTTCCGCTCACGACGCCTCCTTCAGCAATTGATGGTCGATATGTTTTGCACCATGGACATGAATCGCCTCAATTTTCTGAAGCATAATCAGCAGACCCTTCGTATTGAACTCTACTCAGGTAAGCAAGGGGGTCATCTTTGAGATGTTGAAGGCATTTTGAAAATCACTTGATGGTCATTCTCAGAATTCTAATCATAATCCTTTTTTTTTTTTTTTTTTTTTTGGCATAATGTCTCCACAGGCTTACAGGATGCGGTCAATGCTGGGGATGTCAACGCCGCCGCTGTTGGAAGACGGGTCGTCCTACCTTCAAGTTACGTCAGCGGACCCCGATACATGCAGCAGTTGTACCAAGATGCAATGGCCATTGTCCGTGCCTTCGAATCGACACCGGATTATTTCGTTACTTTTACCTGTAACCCCAAGTGGCCCGAAATCACGTCTGAACTTTTCCCGAACCAGACAGCGGCTGAACGTCCGGACCTGACGACCCGCGTCTTTCACATCAAGCTGAAGGAACTCCTGCATGATCTGTTGAAAAACCATGTCCTCGGAAAGGTCGTCGGCATGATTCATGTCATTGAGTTCCAGAAGCGTGGACTCCCCCATGCACACATTCTGCTCATCATGAGCCCCGAGCACAAGCCTGGATTGCCTGAGGACTACGACAAATACATTTCTGCCGAGATTCCTGACCCTGCAACTCATCCGGCCGCCTATGAGACTGTTGTGAAATCCATGATCCATGGCCCATGTGGACCGGCAAACAGGAACTCTCCATGCATGGAGAACGGCGTGTGTACCAAAGGCTATCCCAAGCCCTTCCTCGCAACCACCACAAACGGACCAAATGGATATCCGCAGTACCGGCGCCGCATGGATGGAAGGACAGTCAGGATCGATGGCCGGGGAGATTTCGAGATTGACAACCGTTGGGTCGTTCCGCACAACCCTTATCTGGCTGCAAAGTATGGTGCCCATATCAATGTCGAGAGCTGCACCTCTTCCACTGCGGTCAAGTATCTTTACAAGTACGTCTACAAGGGTCATGATCGAGCCACTGTTGTGGTTCAACAGCCGGCACAAGACGGAGCTCAAGCCGGAGCCGGAGATCTACCTGTGCCAGAAGTCAACGAGATCATTGATTTCATCGACGGTCGCTATGTCTCTGCCTCCGAGTCTTCTTGGCGCATATTCGGTTTCCGCCTACACAGTGCCTATCCATCCGTCACCAGGTTGCATTTGCATCTTCCCGGCCAGTTCATGCACGCCTTCCGCTCGGACGAACCCATCGCCGATGTCCTAGAGAGAGCCGCACTGGAGCGCAGTACGCTGACTGCATTCTTCGACTATAACCGCGACCATCCTGACGAACCGCCGTCAAAGTACCACGACTTTCCTCAAACCCACGTTTACCTCAAGAGGGAAAAGCGATGGAAGCTCAGAGAGAGAGGATGTACAGTCGGCCGACTCTTTTTTGTGCATGATACCGCAGGCGATCTGTTTTATTTGCGGTTGCTACTACTCTCGGTGCCAAGTCCTATATCGTTTGAGGGCCTAAGAACAGTCGAAAACGAGGTCCATCCCACGTTCAAGGCCGCCTGCATCGCCCTTGGCATGCTTCAAGATGATCGCGAGTGGGAGAACTGTCTTCGGGATGCCGCAGTCAGCCAAACGGGATACCAACTCCGCTCCCTTTTTGCAAAGATTCTTGCCTTTTGCAACCCGACAAATCCTGCTCAGCTTTGGACCACCTTTCGCGATGCACTGTCTGATGATCTCCGTCCAAGGGAACGTGACGCTACCAGCCTTGAGCAGCGACAATCCTTTGCAGACCAGCGTGCAAATGCTGCCTTGATCCACTTACAAGTTCTCTTGAGGAACCTCGGCAAGACTCTCCACGACTACGAAGGCATGCCCGAGCCCGTCATACTGGAGCAGCATGGTCCCAACGTAAATGCATTTATTGCAGACGAGTTGAATTACCCTTTGCCCAGCGCAGAAGATTTCGCCATGATGGAGCAGTCACTCAACGCGAATCAGAGGGAAGCATACGACCGAATCAAGCACTCCTATGAGATGAACTCTTCCGAGGCGTACTTCATCGATGGTCCTGCAGGTACAGGAAAGACCTTCCTGTACTCCCTAATCCTGTCTATGGTCCGGTCGAATCGCGATATCGCTCTTGCCGTTGCTGGATCTGGAATCGCCGCATTACTCCTACAAGGCGGAAGAACCGCTCACTCGCGCTTTAAGATTCCCGTCCCTACCCACGAGGATAGCGTTTGTTCAGTCAACCACAGGTCAGAAATTGCCAATCTTCTCATCCGGGCCAAGATCGTTGTCTGGGACGAGGCTCCGATGACGCATCGGCATATCTTTGAGGCTGTAGATCGCACTCTCAAAGACCTGATAAAGACTGTGGACCCTGCGAACGAACATCGTCCCTTTGGAGAAAAGCTCATGGTCTTTGGCGGCGACTTCAGGCAGATTTCTCCAGTCGTTAAGCAAGGCCGCAGAGAGGAAACCATTGGAGCCTGCTTTAAACGATCTCCACTCTGGGACCACATCCAACACCTTCATCTTTCCGTCAACATGCGCCTCCTCAGAAATGCCGACGCTCCCGACATCGAGGAACAGACCGGGTTTGCAAACTGGCTTCTTCAAGTCGGAGAAGGTACTGTTCCTGGCCCGTCTCCAGACCACAGAATCTCCACCACCATCACACTTCCACCCCAGATGGTGATGCCAGCCAATGCCAACATTGGCGATCTCATTGCCAAGGTCTACCCTGATCTCCAGCACAATATTGGCAATGCCCAGTATCTCAATCAGCGCGCAGTGCTCTGCCCAACAAACGACAACGTCGATGAAGTCAACAACCACATCATGTCAGCCATACAAGGGGAATCAAGAGAGTTTCTCTCGCAGGACTCCATCATCGACAAAGAAGACGATAGGGTGGACGCTCTGTTTCCTATCGAGTTTCTGAACAGCCTCAAGTCGTCTTTGCTCCCTCCTCACTGCCTGAGATTGACCGTGGGTTGTCCTGTCATACTCCTTCGAAACCTCATGCCACAGGAAGGACTTTGCAATGGCACGCGACTCATATGTACATCGCTCTCACGGTACGTCTTGGGAGCCACTATCATTACAGGAACACATGCCGGCAATCACGTATTCCTTTCCCGCATCCCGATCTGCCCTTCTGACCTCGATATGCCGTTCAAGTTCCGACGACTCCAGTTCCCTATCCGACCCGCCTTTGCAATGACGATCAACAAGTCCCAAGGTCAGACTTTAGACACCGTTGGTATCTATCTCAAGAAGCCGGTATTCGCCCATGGCCAACTGTACGTTGCCCTATCTCGAGTGACGAACAAGAACAACGTGCATGTGTTGATTGAGAGGGAGGGTCCCGATACACCATATGGCTGTACAACAAATGTTGTTTACCCAGAGATTCTTGCCCTGAGTGACTAAAAAAAAAATGACATAAGAAAAAAAAAAAGGAGGGTAGGGATCAAGGGAGACAGTGACAGACAGAAATAAATACCACATCCATTTCGCTTTTTTTTTTTTTTTTTTTTTCACCCAACACCTCCGCGAGCGAAGCCGCGGGTACTATTCTAGTGGCTCCAAAAAAAAAACAGATCGGCCTTTTACGGTCCATATAACAAAAAAGACATGAATGTCGGCCTTCATAAATGAAATAGCATTCAAAATGTCCATGCAGAGTAAGGGATACATCATTATGAATCGGTATTGTTATCATTGACATAAGACAATGTCTTTCTGCGCAATTTTATGTGAAAAGGCGTATAAATAAAAAAAAGATGGGATAACATGGTACCCATTTTTAAATGCCATACATTCCGCCTTGTACCGCTGTAGTACAACTGTAGTTTCACAATCTGCTCTCGAGCTTTCCAAGGCAGTCTCAGCGCGTTCAATGAGGCGCTCGAGTCGCTCACGGTAGTTTACGGATCGGCAGAATGAGACAAAGATCGCTAGTCAGCAGTGCCGTGATCGACGGGTGGGTTAAAGGGCCTCTTGTCCTCCACCATCGCCTCGATGGCCTTTTGAGATCACTGAAGTCCTTCAGGCGATGATTCAAGGCTGGTTCCAGCAGCGAATCGCGGTCTCCGTCTCTGTGGCGGCGTACCTTCATAAAGGGGACCTCGTCTACACCTGATGCCTGGATCTGTAAAGCATAGCGTAGCAATATTTGTCTTTCATGCCAGTGCCTCGGTAATATTTAAAGAATTATCGGTCTATCTAGCTAAAGTAGGCAGTAGTGGTTTATCAAAGATCGGAAGGTGTCTCGGCCAACTTGCCAACATTGCTCAAGAGCTCGCCGTGGATGACATTCATCGCTTGGATGGCTTGTCTTTCAAGGATGACACAAGAGATATTAATCTCTGAGGCACCCTGCGAGATCATCTCAATGTTAATCCCAGCCTTGGCAAGCGTCGAGAACATACGGCCAGAGATACCGACCATGTTCTTCATCTGCTTGCCAACCAGGGAGAGAATGGCCATATCCTTCATGACGTCGACGGTACCAATCGATCGCAACGACTCCATGGCCTTCTCCATCTCGGTTTCAATGACATTAGCTCCGAGGGCCATTGAGATATGGACCTCGGATGTCGAAATCAGATCAACCGCGATCCCATACCGATCTAGAGTGCCGAAGATCTGAGCGAAAAAGCCATGAGAGACGGACTTGCGGTTGGAGTGGATGTTGAGGACCCACACGTTGTCCTTGATGGTAACAGCGGTAGGATGCCGCCGCGAGAGATCCAGTTGATAGCCGTTTTCAAGTAACACCTTGGACGAAGGTGGAGGTGTATTCCTTCCATTGGGTGTGCACACGCCAGAGGGCTGGTCTGGGAAGATGATAGTGCCCGAGCCCTGGGGGTTCATCACGTTCTTGATGCGAATAGGGATCTGGGCACGGATCACCTGCTCCATGGTAAAAGGATGAATAACCTCTGAGCCGTAATAGGTTAACTCGGAGGCTTCCTCGGGTGTGATGATGTTGAGTAACCTTGCATCCTTAACCTTGCGGGGATCTGCGGTGAAGATACCGTCCACCTCCTTCCAAACTTGGAGTTCCTCTGCGTCCAATCCGACGGCGATCAAGGCGGCGGCCAAATCGGTGTAGCCTCGACCGATGCTTGTCAATAAACTACCGGGCACCGAACCAAAAAAGCCTATACGATGGAAGGAGATACAATGGAAGCAGGAAGAATTTAATATATAAGGTTGTCGTTGACAGATCGGAATTTTCAGGGTCGAAAATTATGATTTGTCCCTGTCGCCTAGCTTGCCCCAGGAATTGGTTCCATTTGGTCCTCACGCCTTTCGTCCTTGCCGTCCCTCCTTCTTCTCCCTTTGTGTCCTGCACTTGGTTCCGTTTGGTTCCTTCCTTCTATCCTGGTCCCTTTGTCCTCTCATGCCGCCCGCGTTCGTGCGCCCAAGCCTGCAATTGATCCCCGTCAACATTTTGTCTTCTTCTGTTCGCTTACCTGTGACAACTGGAACACGGTGACCACACTTGGAGACAGCTGCAGCAAAGGCGCGGGAAAGGTAGTCGTAAAAGTTTTGGTCGAGACAGTTGACATCAAAGACGGCTTCGATCACATTCTCCAGACTGACAAATTGCGTTTCTACGCCGCGGTCCTCCAGTAGGGCAGCGACGATTCTGCACGATAGTTTTTCGCCTACTGCCATAATGATATCTTTGGATCTTGGCGAAATCTCCTCAATAATCTATTGTGGTGATGAGGAAAGGAAGCCACAATCCCCAAGATTAGTCATGGTAGGCACGCTTTTCAATTACTCTGTTGTTCCACATTGACACATGCCAATACAAAGAAAAGTAAAGGGATGAGGATGTGGATGTGTTACCTGGGCTGCCTCCAAGAACGCCCTGAGGCGATCGCAGTCCTGGTTGATCTCGTCCTGCACACGCTTCAAGATGTCGGCGTCGGAAATGTGCTTCTTGCAGGTATCAAGGTGGTCCAGGCGGATCTCTTGTACTGTCTCAATAAACTCAATGGATCCAGGGACCAATGCGGATGCGGCTGCCTTGAGCAATCTATTAGGCAGAAAGGAAAGAAAATTCGGGCGTTAACCACACATATTCGTTTCCTATGTATCTACATGCGCTAATTAAACGTGATCATTAGACACTGAGTCATTTCTGGTGCTGCAGGGCGGAGCATTGATCTGAATCGAAGGAGGGGTATATTACTTCATACCTGTTTGTGGTTCCGAGAGATTTGCTCTCGCTGCTTCTTGCTGAGCAGACAACGACAACACGATTCGTGGGGAGATAAGATCTATAACAACGCAAATATGGAGTGACGAGTTAGCAAGTTGTGTGTCATATGTGGTGGAGCAACAAATTAGTGCTTCCTGCAACTTGATACCAAGTACAAGACAAGACTTTTGTTTTAAAAAGAGAGGACTTACTGCACGATGGTGCCAGCGATGGTCTCGATGAACTTTCCGATGCTGGTGCCGCCAAACTTTTGGACAAGCCATGGCTTTTGGGCGCCAAAGTGGTCGCTGTTATGGTATGAGCTTCCGTTTGTCTCGATGACCATGTGAGGAGGCAATGAACGTCTGAGGGGAGATGCAGTCATTGTTGTTATTGTTGTTTTTGTTGGCTGTTGGTTTGGAGTGGGAAGGGGAGTGGTTTCCGGTGGTGTGTCTGTGGGTAGGTAGAGAGACTTGAATTGAGCTGACTTTAAGTAGGGTTACGAGGGAAAAGAGAACTTGAAGGATGAGTGTGAGAGGAGGAAAGGTGAGAAAGAAAAAAGAAAAGAGAGAGGATCTGCCTTTTTATCCCTTCGTCTGTTATCATTTTTGAATCGGAGAAAGGATAAAAAAAAGAAAGGGAAAACGATGGTGTCGGTCGTGAGTCAACGGCCTCTCTGGGCTTCAGGGACCACACTTGATGACCATTATTATCTCTATCTTCACAAGACTCCATTCCATCCCATTACTCATCGCACGTATACCCCAGGACCCCAACTGTCTGTCTGCCCAATCCCAGGTAGGCACCACAATGTAAAATTTCTATCCCTCTATGCTGGTCGTGGATGTGGGTGTAGCAGGGTTCCTCCCTTCCCTATCCACTCGAAACAAGCAAAGGCCACTCGCCAATCTTCCTCCTCCTTTCCTGCCCTGCCCTGCCCTGCCCTGCCCTGCCCTGCCCTGCCCTGTCAAAGAGAGTGAGGGGTCCTCAACTAGTCGGCGCCCTTGCAGAAATCGTCAAGGCTGGCTCTCTTTCTTTTCTGTTTCTAATTCTGTCTTTTCTTTCTTTCTTTCTTTCCCACTCATTCATCATCCCTTCCTTTCGTTTCCACCCTTTTCCTCATTCGCCCTCCCTTTTTACCTGCAAAACCTTTTTATTTTTCTTCTTTCACTCAATACTTCTCTTTTATTCACGAGATGATGTCCACAGCTCCCATCATCCCAGCCCAAGAAGAAACCCCTTCGAAAACAGAACCCTCGCAGACTCTCGCCCACAGTCCCACGACTTCCCAACCGGCTTCAAACAAGAACGACCACAACCCCAGCCATCACCACAACCAGGGCAAGAGCGAGCATGATACAGAGCATGACAAAGTCGCCGTAGAGCCAACTGTGACATTGACGGCCGAGAACAAGCGCTGTGTCTTTGCAAAGCCGGCCTCCGAAAGGGAGGAAAAGGCGGCCACTGTCATCCAGTCTGTGTACCGGGGATACCAGTAAGGGTCTTTGTTTTGTTAGTATCATCACTGAGGATGTTGATGACAGTTACACAAAATATGGTTTCTCACCCCACCCATCAACCCACCCCACCTTTCCCTCCTTCTCCTCTTCATCATCTCAGAGCGCGACGAGACCTCTATGGCTCAGCATTGACAGCCTCCCAGGTATGTAGTGGCAGAGATGGATGGGGCGGGAAATCCGAGAACGTCAGTGTGCGGCTATTGATAAAAAGAAAGTTTATCGGCTGCGTCAATGAAGGCACGAACTCAAGTGCCATACCTCAACCCTCATCACCTCACTCACCCAATTGCGAAATCTGTATGTTTCGTGTGTAGAAGTGGCGCTATTTGATCGACCACAGTCGCATCGAGCTCATCCACAAACGCGACGCCATCGATCATCAGGCGCAGGAAGGGTCAACCCAGGTCTCTGATGATCCGAATCAGTCTTCGTCTCCGCTATCACCACCATGCACACCCAATGATAACAAGACACGGTGGGCATGGAGGCGAGTAGAGTTCTTTGGCTCGCGACTCGGCAAGGTAACAACAAATAACACAACAAAAACAGTAATGGTACTCGACATTACGCAGGTTTCCGCGGGCGTAGACATGTATGGGCGTGGGTAGGGGCATGAATAGATGGATACTTGTTCCTTGCCACTTGCCTTTTCTTCTCTTCTGTATTCCTCTATCGTCCCCTTCCATTTACTCTCCGCAATGAACTCTGTCCCTGTCCACAACACGAACACCAATTGCGCCCCTATGAACGATACAAATGGACCCTCAACCTCCACAGCCGGCACGGACACTGTAATACCTCGACAGCCGACTGAGGACTAGGGTCATAGCAATAATCCACCACTTCCACATGGAACATAAGTACTAACAATTTGCTAAATGATGGGATTGTGATACACAATTAGGGAAGCAATGGCGTATCGGCCGAGGAGGCGCTGGTATTGGTAAGACTGTTTACCCTGGCGCTTGTGCCGTATAAGCAACTCATGTCGGAGGCGGAGAAGAAGGTGCTAACCGGGTCTGCGTCATATTTGTTCCTATTTCTTGATCTGGTAGCTCACTGAACACTGGCTCGAGATGTCCGACAAGAAACACAGATACGGTTCTAATCTCAAGGTACGCCAACCTGCATTATTCTTATTCTATGCACTCTCCCGTCATGCACACGTTCATAGGCATAATGAGGACCGTTGCGAGCAAAAATGGGGTCTCGGCTGGGCCATCGGTCCAAAATAGAATCATGGCTCACATCACCCGCTCACATTTCGCCATTTATGTCTTTTTAGGTCTACCACGAGTTCTGGTTGGCACAGGATACCTCACAAAACTTTTTCTATTGGTTGGATAATGGTGATGGCAAGGAGGTCGACATTGAGGAAAGACCTCGGGCGCGACTCGATGAGCAGCGTGTCCATTACCTTCAGGAGTACGAGCGCGCTCAATACGCTGTCAATGTCATTGATGGACTTTTCTATTACAAGCAGTCGGGTCAACTTGTCCACACACTTCCAACGTCGGTCAAGGCTGATGACGATGTCGATGTCTCGCAAATCCTTCCAGATGCCAACGAACATGACGATGAGGCGACACGGCTGGAGAAGAAGCGGATCCGCAACAAGTCCAAGTTCATCTATGTGACGGACCCCCAGGGCGTACTCTATATTGCGCAGAAGGTCAAGGGACAATTCCACCACTCGAGCTTTCTGGGTGGTGGGACCGTCTGCGCCGCGGGAGGGATCGTTGTCAATCGAGGCAAGCTGATCAAGATCAACCCAAAGTCTGGACACTACCGGCCGGGGCAGAGGCACTTTGAGAGACTGCTGAGCAACCTGGAGGCGATGGGGATATCGCTGGAGGGCGTCAAGGTCTCTACAGGAATCCTGGAGGCTGAAGTTGATGGTGATGGTAACGAGCCAGGGCGGGAAGGGTCGAGTGACCGGTTGGTGATGCCATTAGTCAAGACGGACATTGTAAAGAACTCTAAATAAACATTTTTGTCATGGTCGTTGTTTGTAGAGTGGAGAAGGATCGCGTATGAATAGGGTTTCAGGAATGGGATGTCCAGTTCAGCAAGCAACGCACAGAGGCGCTCTGCCACAATGCTTGTGTGGAGCAAAGCAATGGAGCGGATTCATGATGGTTTGGAGCGGGGATTCATGATGGTTTGATAAGCAAGCAAAGAACACATATCGATGAGAAGGCAACAACAACAACAGCAGAGGAGCAAGCTCCTGCTTTTCTTTCCCGCGCGGAAAACGAGAGATTCCTTTTATTGTCAGATCCCCCACAAATCGTGCCGACGTGCCAGGCCTGACTAATCCAAGCCATTACATACAAGGAAGGTGTCAGCGGCCGACTCCTTTGAAGTAGCTGAGCTGTCAGACAGGTCCCCTGGGGTCCCGAATGCCTATGGTTGCACAGCTTGGGTCGCATGAATACCTTAGAGTGGCCAGCACCGAGCCAGCCCTCCGCATCCCCTGCGCGACCTGTCGGGTCCAATGGGTCCTCTGCTAGTCGAGATCTCGGGTCAAAGATTTATGCGGCAGTTTCCTTTCTTTTCCATCAAGTGCAACACCGTCTGTTCCTTTGCGCACACCTGCCTTCTTCTCTCGAGCTGTTATTCCTTGGGTAGTCTCCCTTCGACCGTCGCCTTGCAACGTACTTGCCATATCGCACCCAGAAACTGTCGGGCCAGTAGTGCCGCGATATTCGACGTCGACTTGGACAACTTGGCCCACTCCTTGGTCAAGAATACTTGTGCCAGGCCGTGGTAGAGATCCACAGTGGTCCGCGTCCTCGGCGCGGAAAAGAGATTGGCAACGAATGATAGAGATAGAGAGAGGATCATGTGATTTATCGAGAGCTTTCCCTTTCTTTTTTTCCTTTTTCTAGGGTCCAGTCCATTCATTCCTTTCTTTTTATTCTCTTCTCCATCACTCCCACCTTCACCACCTTCACCACCTTCACCCCCGTACTCCACCCCTCCTTGATCTCTCACGAAACCATGGTTCACTTCACCGGCTCAGACATCACCCTCTTTGTGATTGGCTTCTTCCTGCCTCCTCTAGTAAGTCCTCTGCGAAGAGCCTGCTGCACAGGCACATTGTCTAGTTAGTGTTTTGGCGAAATGTTTTCTAACTATTGTCTCCCGCACTCTCTCACTCTCCCACTCTCCCACTCTTTCTCGCCCTCTCGCTTGAATCCGCTTGTAAAATGACGGGAATGGCACCTTCCTTAGGCTGGTAAGTAGCTTCGATGTCTGCCTTTAGAGGACTCATCCAATCTCAATGACCCCCGTTGGCGCATGGAAAAGACGCGCTATTCTTCACGTCAGCACGCCGAAAACATTCTTGTGACCAACCACCCTTAGCTTTAACACGGCGCGCCAAAAGCCAGGAGTGAAAAAAGCCACTCTGCACACGTACTTGTGAAGTTCTCGTTCTCACGCGTACGTTTCTTTCTTTCTTTCTCTCATGAAGTTCTCTTCAAGCAAGGATGTGGGTGTGATTTTTTAATCAGGTAACGAGTAATGGCCCGTCTTTTTGCTTTCATAGCGGTCTCTTCTTTGTTTTGTTATTGCGTCGCGCCTCGTTTGATTACGTTTCTTGTGTGTGTGTGCGTGTGCGTGTGTGCGTGTGAGTAGACGTTTTGTTTTGTTACTTTGTTGGCTGCTTTGCATTGCGCGACAGGAGGAGATGCATAATTTCTTTTCGTCCCTTACTCTTTTCTATCCCCCACCTCCTCGGTTTTTTATTCTTGACGAAAACTCTGCGTATGTGTTCACTCGACGGACGCTCCACAAGGGCCTGGTTCTTTTTTGTGCAACCGATTGAGGGTTTTTCTTGTTTGTGTTTATGATGATATACTTGTTGGATAAGCAGCAGGAAAAAGGCGAATCTCAACACATGTGGGCATATATTGACAAGGAAAGCAAACAACGCATGTCCGTCCTTCCTCCCCTTTGCTGACTCTATTTTGTTTGTGATCATGCACATCCAATTAACAACTCACTCTTTCAACTCGTGTGCACAATTCTCCCCGCTTGTTGCGTGCTTACCATCCAGTTTGGGTCTGACCCTCCTCGGACATGTCCCTGGCATTGTCTACGCATGGTGGATAATCTACACCAACCGTGAGGACCCCAGAACCCACCGTCGCATCAACCACGGCGGCCAGAACAATGTCGACCGTCGCTCGTACCTCGCCGTCGCCCAGCAGGGACAAACTGGCTCCCCTCCTTCTTCTGGTGGTGCTGTTACCCATGCTCCCCACGGCCATGATCCTCAAACCCAAGTCCACAGCGGCGACCAGTCGCAGACTCAGACGACTGTTACCAAGTCTCAGGAGCAAAATCCTGGTCTTCCTAACCAAAACAGCTCCACCCGCACAATTACCACCACCACCACCACTCGCACCTCGTCCAACGGTGGTCCTCCCCAGACCATCCAAACCATCATTACTTCCCAGAATGGCGAGGTTATTGACAAGAAAGTCGTTGTAGTCGACAAGAAGGATACCCCTCCCGCCTACTAAGTAACCATCATCCCAGACCAATTGTACTCATATTCGTAGGACGAAGTCTACTTTTTCAAGCAAGATTACCCCCACGTTGGCCCTCGCTATTGTTTTGATATTTGTGAATAAAGAAGCAGTTTTATGGCCGATATTAAAAGTACATGGTATGGAATGATGCAAAAAGATGAAGGCTTCGCCTCTATTTACAAGAATGAACAGAATTACGCAGTGGCGGAAGTAAGCAGGTCATTAGACTTGGCCTCAGCGGTATGGATGGCCTCCTCGACAGGCTTCACAACGAGCTCAGGGTAATGCTGACCTCTCATCTTGGCCAGGATCTCGTAGGCCTCGGGGACCAAGCCGTTCTCGAGGTAGGCGCTGACCATACTCTGGTAGGTCGAGGGTTCCTTCACAATTGCCTTGGATTTGGGAGATAGGGACGATGGGACGGAACCGTGAGGATCAAGCATGGCGTCAAAGATCGCCTCGGCGGCCTCGATCTTGCCCTCTTGACCGTGACCCTTGATGAGGGTGTTCTCGATGTAAGCGCTTGAGGGCTGACCGGACTGGAGGAGGTCGTCACGGATCTGGACAGCGCGGGAGACTTGGTTGTTAGCGATGAGAGATTCGATCAGGGACTGGTAGGCGGGACCCTTGGGAGTGATGCCGGAGGCGCGCATGGACTGGAAGACAGACTCGGCGGTACTGACATCACCGTGCTCAACACCATAGGCATGAATCAAGGCGCCGTAGTGGGCTTCCGAGGCACGGACAGGTCCACGCTTCAAGGACTGGATTAGGCGGTGGGCCTCGGTCATGTCGTATGGCTGGATGCAGGCAAAGGCTTCGATGAGGAGGGTGTAGGTGTGCTCAGTAGGGGTGAGTCGACGCTGGAGCATATCCTCATAATAGGACAAGGCTTGAGTGCGGTCCTTCTTCTGGCGGACATAGAATTGGATCATGGCGTTGTGGGGTCCATGACGGGGTTGGTAATTTGGCGAACGGACCATCTCCTTGAAGAGCGACTTTGCCATCTCCTCAGAACCAACTCGGGTGCAGGCGCTGATAAGGGTTCCGTAGGTAATGGCGTTGGGGCGGATCTTTTGGTGCATCATGTCTTCGTAGACCTCCAAGACGCGTTCGATCTTACGGCCCTTAGAGAGTTTACCGATGACGACGTTGTAAAAAAAGATGTTGGGCTTGATGCCGTGGCGCTTGACCTCGTCCAGAATCTTGAGGGCGTCGTGGGCCTCGTCGACGGCACCAGAGGTGGTTGTGGCCAACAAGAGGGTTGCGTATCCAGTAGCATCGGGGAACTGGCCTAGTTTGACGATGGCATCGTAATTCTGCTTGGCCTGGGTCATGTTACCGAGGGTGGCATTTGCGACGAGCATGGCATTATAGACCTCGTACTCTGCCGCACGCTTGTGAACGGGGTCCTCAATGGCGTCAAGAGACCGGCAAGCAAGGTCAAATAGCTGGTGATAGTCCGTGGTGCGTTCCTTCTCACGTTTGGCGCAGACCTGGATGGTGTCAGCAATCGCCTGGGCTGTGGGTAACTGGTTCTCGGAGGTCATTTTTTGGATGCCTTCGATCGCCACTGCAGCATATCCAAAGCGGCAGGCCCTGATGATGGCCTCAGAAGGGTCGCCGTTGCGGAGCAAAACCTGAGCGTTGGGATTAGATGTCCTGCCAGTTGTTTTGTTGTTGTTGGTGCTGCCATTGCTGTTGGTGCGGGTGATCGATGTTCCTGAAGGAGCCGATTCAATAGCCGACATTTCCTGCTCCAAATCTGAAGGGACCGTTGGCTTGTAGCCAGGGTAGATCTCCTGAACAGCAGTGTCCCAAGCGAGCTGTCCGGTGTAATCGTTCAGCTTCATGAAAGATAGTGAGACACGGGAGCAGGACTCTTGGCTGGGGAAGACATTCATCTCCTTTGCGTCCAAAAGAATCTCGATCAAGTGCTTGTAGCGAGTGCTAGTGCGGGTGAGGGAAGACTGAAGGGAGAGCAAAGTCTCGACGTCGGCAGGGGTGACCATTGTTCTAACAGCATCCAGACCCGAAGTCACCTTGAGTTGGCGATATGTGCGAAGAGCTCCATCTGCGAATCCTGAAGAGGCCGACAATCCATGGCTAAATATGTAATACAAGTAGTAACAAGTTAATGACCCATCCGAGTAGACATATCCGCTTCCGGGTTGCTCCATTTGTATGCATCGTATGACATGTCACTTCACATCTAAGACCAATTTATGCGCAGCTCAGTTTTACCTGTCGAGCAGCTTTGCAAGGGAGAGAGCCTGGGCGAAATCACTGCTGTGGTCGGCAATGTCCTTGGCGAGAGAGGTGTACGTGTTGATTTGGGCAGCCGATAGCGTCCTGCCCTGGCTATGATGGCATTCAACAAGCATAGACAAAGCCCGCTCGGCATCCTTGGGGCGGTTCATATCTAGAAACTGGGCGACAATCTTGTTCGAGAGTGCAGAGTCGGCGTAAAAGCCTTCGTGGCGCATCTCTTGGAGGTAGGGAAACACTGCGTGGGCATCATGACTGCTGACTGCATCCCAGGCACTCTTGGACAACTCATTGTATTTGGGGACGGCCGACCGGGTTACGGAGGTGGTGCTGGCGTCCTTGGGCTCCTTTCTAAAGTTGAGACTAGCGGTCAAGGGGCTCTGGAATCGCTGGGTAGAGGAGTTGAGGTGATGCCCGAGTTGACCTGAGGCGAAGTGTGGGGTTGGCTGGAATTGGTGTGCGCCTGTGAGGTGGTGAGTGTTGCTGTTGCTGTTGTTATCCCAGTTGCCTTGGGAGGACGAGAAAGAACGGACGGGGTTTGCGGGGGCGTTGCTTCCTTGAGCGACAGTGCGCTGTGAGATGTTAAGGACGGTGCTCTTGGAGTTCGTGAGGGGCAAGAACTGGCGGGAGACACCCTGGCGGGTGAGGTTACCCAACATAGTTGTTGCTTTGAGGTTCATCATGTTTTGGAAGGGTTCGTTATTTCAACTGCGTTTGGGGTCTAGGGGGGTGGGTCGTGACGAAACAAAAACGAAAAAAACGCAGAGACAAGGAAGAGAGCCGTGGAGATAAGAGAAATGCTTGAGAGAGGGGGGAGAAAGGAGAGGTATAAGGAAATACAAGAGTAGAGAAGAGAAGAAGAGTAGATAATCAAAGAAACGAAAGAAGGGTGCTTTTCTTTTTAAGAGGGAGTTAGAGGATGAAGGATTTCAGCTCTTGATGGAAAGAAGCGGATAGAACAAACGACCAAACAGCGAAAAAAAAAAAAAAAAAAAAAAAAAGTGCGTGCCGGGAGACCCAAATCGTAAACCGAGAGGGGCGGTAATGCCGAAATTTCCTCTTTGGGCGACCACGGACAGAGATACAGTCCAATGACGGCAAGCCTGAGACACTATGTTGTTCATACTCCGACTATCTCTTTCTTCATTGGCGTGGCGATGGTGCCTGGACTGGATTTAAGTGTTCAAGTGCCCCAAAGGTCAAGAACAACACTAAAGATTACTAAGTAATGCCAGGTGTACGCGAATGTCAGTGGTGGGGAGAGGATGATAGTGTCAAAGTAAGGTGGCAGTAACAAGAACCCAAGGTGTGTACGAAAGTGTGTGAGAAGTTAATAAGACGAAGGAGGCCAAGAGCATGGTTCGCCTTGGTCTTATTGTTTTCTTGAACACACGCGGCAAGGGTTGGAGATGGATGGAGGACAAAATGATTGAGCGAAGAGAAAAGCACTGCTGTGAGAGCAAGGGATGGGAAAATGAAATCCAGCAAGGAAGAGGCAAATCCGAGAAGAGGGTATGCGCTTCGTGGAAAGAGAAAAATATCCAGTTGGTTACCTAGGCACGACATCCAGAGACAACAGAGACATGAAAAACGCGCTCGTCCATGCCCTGATCAAGATCCCATGGAGCATCTGGATCGATCTGCACGCCTTTTTTTGCCGTCGCAAACCACCACTCCATTGTAAAAGCGTGTCCTCTTCGATTCTTCTTGCCCCTTACCTTCTGATCCAACCATACAAGACCAAAGTCGAGGCAAGTCTACTCTACACATAATCCATCCTCTCCTATGCTCTTCCACGTTTCTTCCTTTCAATCCTACCTCTTTTTTCCTCCCTTTTGAAGTACGCTCCTCTTCCTACACACTATCCTCAGACATCCCACACCGTATTGCAATTGTTTCTTTCATCTTTCTCCCTTGTCTCTACTCCCGCTCCCCGTCACGCCTCTTATTCTCGCCATCCTTCCCTCATGTCCATTGATCCCACGTTATTATTATTATTATTACTATAATTATCACTTTTATCATTATTATTATTATTATTATTATTATTATTATTATTATTATTATTATTATTATTGATTTAGTAAGTGTTCTCATTGTTCCTGGGTTTATGTTTCTGAGAACCATCGGCTAACCAGTTTGTTCTTATATTTTGCTTGATAGGCAATAAGCGACTCGGACCGTGGAAGTAAGGGTCGTGATAAATAGAGAAGCGAAGGAGGAAAGAGAGTCTTCCCATTCCTTCGATCAGGAGAACTCTTTTTTTTTTTTTTTTTGGCGTGATGAATGTTGAATGTTTTCGAAAGGTGCAGTGAGTCGACAGATGGAAATCTTCGCAAGCAAACACGAGGGAGAACACTATGGGCGCATGGGTTCCTTTTCATTCCTCCTCGGAGAAATATCGTTTGCCTCCCGGGCTGGGCTGGGTCCATTGCCTGTTCAGTGACCCATCCCCCCCCCTTTTCTTCTTGTTCTTCTCTCCTCTGTCGATCGTCCCCTCCATTCGTAGACTATAATAAAACAGCCCAGTCTTCGCCACGCCACCACAATTCACTCCATTTTGGTCAACGTGGTTCTTCGCCACTCTTTTTTCAGCTCTTCATAAATTCAAACGCAAACGCTTTGCTTCCTTCTCTCTTTTTTCATCCTTCCCTCCTTTCATTGTTCACCATCTTAACCGTCCTCCTTTCATTTATCATCCGCATCTTATTATCACTCAAATACCCTATTTCAAAATCCTCTGTTTTCGTCCTCCTCGCTCTCCTCTCGCCTGAAAGATGACTTGGTCCGTTGATTGCTCATCTCTTGAGCATCGGTCAACGGAAGGACGTCCACATTTTCATGTGCCTGAAAAATTTCCTATCCGCGAATGCCACCTTCGAGAGTTCTGTGGTCCTACTTCCCACCATGCCCACGATACCAAAAGCGCCATCAGCAGTACTACCTCAGACAACTCTTCCTCTTCAACGAAAGGTGACAAACCGCTCAAGGAGCCAATCAGGATCAAACCAATCGACTTTGCAACCTACCTCCACAGCGGCTTGAAGGAATACATTCATAATTTACGGCACCCCTCGGCTCTCCCTGGCAAAGGACCTGTCAGCAAGGTCTATGCGCTCGGATTGTTCCCGGCTCTTGTTGGAATTCTTGTCTTTTGTCAGTGGGTCATATCCCTGGTGATCCTTTGGAGCTCTTATACGGCTGCGGGTAGGAAGGCCTTCCAGGTCTTTTTGAAGGAGCAGATCCTCCTGTTCGACCCTACAGGTAAGAGTGAAATATGCGAAAAGTGATGACAAGTAGAGGAAGGGGGATAACGGAGGAGTGATGGCAGATGCATGCATGTGCAGATGTGTCTATGAAAATCCGCCAATAGGACCAATATTCTTTCAAGCTCAACATTTTTTTTCCTTTCCTTCCATAACACAGACAAGGTCGATCCAAACGGAACACGGGAAGCATTGAAGCAGCTCTCAGATCTCAAGCCCAAAGCTAAACCCGTCTTCAACTACTACATCACCCACCTGCTGCTCATCCTTTCAACACTCACATATGAGCGAAACGACGAGTTGGTCAAACAGGCCGCGGAGATCCTAGAGGATATTGATAACGAGGAGCAGAGACAACAGGCGGCGGACTTGCTTCTGAACAGCGAGGAGACGATTGACAGAAAGGCGCAGCTTATGGGTTTGCGATTCGAGGGTGTCAGCGAACTCAAATCTTTGGGGGGTCCCTATGCTGGGCTATTCTACAATGAGGAGTCGATTGTCCTGGTCTTCAAAGGCACCTCTGTCCTTGCCTTCAGTAAGCTTCTATCTTTATTTCATATTTGACATCCGTATTAACGATTTACGACAGCAGCTGAATCATTGCACTAACCTTTGGCTGGAATTTTATTTTCGGTGCAAAGACGAGTACCTGATTGATGGTACCATCCAGCGCGTCAATGCCGAAGAGTACCTTTACGGCGAGGTACACAAAGGTTTCTACGAGTCACTTTTCCCCGATCCCTTGCCCCTTGACGAGACCAAACATGCCGGAGTGAATAGGACCAACCCGTTTCAGACAATCATGGAGACCATCTTTGCGACGGCCAAGAAACTACGAGAGAAACATGGCAAGCCTGTCAACCTGTGGATGACAGGACATTCGCTTGGTGAGCAACAAGGAGTGTGTTTTGTTTTCGTGAGGGTTGATATTGTTGACTAAAGTTTCATATGACAAACTGATTAACTTAACCCCCCCCTCCTCCTCCTTCCTTTTCTTTATGTGATAGGAGGAGCGCTTGCCGCGTTGACTATGGCCCGTTTGCAGCTGCCGTTGCGCTCAGACGACCCACTCTTTGAAGGATACTCTCCCGACTCGGTCAAGGCCCTCTTGCATGACGAACATGGTGTCCCAAGAACGGTTCTTCAGGAAATGATCTCTCGCTTCAACTCTAGTCACTCTAGCGCCTCGTCAGCACCAATGTCACCCTCGTCGTCGTCATCTTCATCAACCATTGGCTCACACCGGTCCACGCTCAGGGGTCACTTTGGGTTCTTGAGTCACTTGAGTTTCCATGGCCACCACGATAAGAAGGACTTAGACGACTTAATCAACTTGCGGGACTGCTACAGCTTTGCGAGCCCCAAGCTCGGAGACACGGCGTTTGCAAAGGAGTTTGACCAGCACCACATTCAGTTCATGAAGAAGAGCACCTATAAACCCGTTTACTACCGAGTTATTACCGACAAGGATATCGTCCCCATGATGCCACCGAGCTGCAGTACCGATCCCGATGATGTGAGGAAGCGTCTTTTCCCATGCGTCAACTGCCCCCAGCCCTCGTCGTCTGAGCCTCACTCTCACCATTCGCCCGTATCATCCTTGTTATCGAGCAAGACGCCGTCCTACGGAGCCACCGAATTCAGATACCAAGTCGATGATGAAGATACTTCATTTTTGCTCGAGAAACCCATGAACTCGCTCCTGGACTACAGAAATGTCGGACAGATGATTCGCCTTTTCAACTCGCCCATCCGACCGTTGACCAAGCCATCAGACAGTCAGACAGATCTGTGCGGAGGACTTCAGCGTACAGACCAAGAGCTCTCAGAGTTGCTTCGCAGTATCCAAGAAACCCTCATGACCCAGAAGGCCGTGGAGGCCAACGACCCGTCATCCCCAGACACTCTCAAAGCCACATCAAGCTGGTTTGCTCGCAAGGACAAGAACAGCAAGGAGACCGCATTCTGTGCACAGGAAGTCGAGAAGAAAATGCTGTTGGCCAAGGTCAAGTACGACCTGGACGAGGAAAGTCGTTTGCGAATGCCGTGCACCGGGGAGCGGATTATGTTGACGTTCCCCTTTGTGATCTCTCATTCCCCGGCGACGTATCAACGCAACCTGGTCATGGCCCGGTTCTACTTTGACAGCTTCCCTGGTGTAGAGTTGGAGCAGAAGCTGAGCATGCTTGGTGGTAAGGGTGTTGGCGTCAGCGCTGGTTCGGCAAGGGACTCGGCTGTTGTTGACATGGTCGTAGTGGTGTAGCGATATAATGGCCATGGAAAAATAATGAATTTCTATCCGGACACTTAATATTCGCTAGTACACAGCAACAATACGTTTCTCTATTTGAGTGTCATGCGAATGGGTTGTTCATGCTGTTTTTCAAGTGCCCAATACTATTTTCTACGCTCACCAAAACCAGACTCCCTCTCCATTCATAAAATGCGAGCTATTGTTTTTTAAACACGCTTGAGGCTATCCTCCTCACGGATCTTGCGCAGCCTCTCCTCCCTGTTGTTTTCCTCAGCAGTCTTCTCGGTCTTGGTCTTCTCCACCTCAACCTTCTCGACGACAGACTTCTTGATCTCTGCGACCTTCTCCTTGACATCCTCGACGGTCTCCTTGGCGACCGAGACGGACTCTTCAAGCTTTTCCTGAACGCTGGTCTTCTCAAAAGCCTCCTTGACTTCCTGAGCACTGTGCTTGATCTCCTCAACAGCTTTGGTCAATTTGGACTCTTGGCTGACGGCAGAGCTGGTGGCGCTGCTGATGGTGCTGCTGGCAGTGTTGGTAAGGTCGCGGATTTGGTTTTGAACGTCCTTGGGGATGTACTTTGAAAAGTCAGAGTTGTTGGCCTGGGCAATTAGGCGATTGGAAGAGGCGGGGAAGAAGTATCCGAAAGCCATAGCAGAGAATGCAACAGGAGTCAAGAAGCGGAGCATAATGTTGCCTAACGGTGACGATACGACGTAGATTTGATGGTCAGCCCGATAACCAAAATTTCATGACGCTGTAAAAAAATGTGTGTGAAGAATGGACTCTAGACTTACGGCGACTAGCAAAGATGGATCCGGCGAAACCTGCAACAACAACGTAGAGAGCAGCGGGCATGACGTCCTCCTCCTTGACAAGAACCGACTTGATAGTGCCTACTCTCGCGTATTGAAATGTATACAATGGTTGGTGAGCGAGTCTTTTTCAGTATTTAGCTATTCCGTCCAGTCAAGCATCTTGACATGGCATCCCAGGTCGTGTGGATATAATATGTACCTTCAGCCTCTTTCTCGAGATCGACAACCTTGTTGGTGACCATCTTGAGGTGGTACTTCATGCCCAAAATTTGACGATCGGTCTCCTTGCGGGCAACACGAAGGGCCTCATCCAAGCGTGTGGGTTCCTCCTTGATCATCATCTCGGGCTCGGGCTCGTCATAGATAGGGAGCTACAATGGACATAAACAATGTAATATTCGAATAAGTATCAATTCACAGGCACAGACCAAGATTTTTTCAAAGTTTAGATTGGCGATTCCTTGCGGATCGTGCATACCTTCTGCTTGCGCTCCTTTCCCTCGGCAAGAGCGACTGCGCCGCTTGTGCTGACCAAAAGACCAACGCTAGCGCCGATGGCGACCAAAGACTTTGTCTAAAGACGGGTGTTGACCAAGTGTGAAGGTTGATGAATACCGGCGTTGTTGCACTTCCTGGTACCTGCATTTTTACTGATGTAGCTGTCGGGATGGGAGATAAAGCAGTTGGTCCATTTTTATGCGCCCTTGCTATTTTTCCTCGGGCGTGCCAGTTTTCCTGTAGTTGCTGTGTATGCCTCTTGCCGAGATCTTGCAGCTGCAGGGTAGATTCAACCATTCTTCAGGAACTACGACGAATCCTCCGACTTTCGTGTATGGTGTGTGGGAGTACGATGCACCCGAGGTAGGCCATTCCATTCCTGTTGTTATCTTCTGGTGGTCCTGTCTGGTGGATCGGTGCGGGTACCTTCAAGGATTGCGAGACACGGAACATGGTATATGGATGGATGGAGGGATGGAAGGATGGAAGGAGAGGTGTGTGGGTCAATACCGCGAGTTGTCGTTTCGGATCCAATCAACGGAATTCAGACGGGAACAGGGCCGTTGGAATGGCGTAGCTTATGCTCTACTCCATCCTCCGGTCAGGTGTCAACTCCTCATGGACATACATAATGTGGCTGCCACCTGAATGCTCAACAGCCAACAATGTTGTGCCCACCCTCCTTTTTTCCACGACGACCATTGCCATCTCTTTCTGTCTCTCTCTTTCTACACATCTCTCACGCCCACACCCACACCCACTTTCACACCCGCGGTACTCGCTTTCTTCACCAAAGGGATCAGATCCATTCCCTTTCCCTTTCTTTCTTCCTCCATCCCTGACGCTCTTGCTCAACAAGGACTTCTTGGGAGATTCTCGTGGACTGGAGAAAAATAACCAGGATGCTCTCGGCCACTTTCAGGAACAAGGTCGCCAGATCTTCTTTAGTTCACTCTCAGCCCGTTAAGACAGCCGCTACTTCCTCCCTCTTCGCCCACCTAGCAGAGCCAGCACAACTCGCAACCTCAGGCTATGGGCGTACCATTGGTCAACAGAGGCAATTGATGATCAGCTCTCGCAGGATCTTGAACCGATACCTCGTCTCCAGCAGGTCTGCAGGATCCACCGCCACAACCGCCAACACCCTTCTCGCGCCCCAGATTATACCCAAACCAGGGTCCTCAGTAGTAACCCTACATTCTAGATGTTTCTCAATTGACACTGCCCGTCCACGAGGAGGGGGACTTACCTTTCTGGGACGACCACAGCTCCCCCACCTGCAACAACACGTTTCCCGGTTTCACGCCTCCAGGACGAACCAGGTGCCTCTCCCGATCCTGCCGGCGGCTATTTTTACGCTCAAAACACCAGTGACAGCACTGGTCCTGCGGATGATCTCTCGTGTGTCATTAACGCTCTTGCCTCTCTCGGCCAAACAGTCGCCCAAGGTCATCCTAACCCTCGTCCTGATCCCTCCCGTCTGCTTTGGACTGGTGATCTTTGCTGGGCTGGAGGCGGCACCCAACACGGGGCGGTGGCGGTTCCTGTTCACGAACGAGGAGGAAGAGTTGGAGATGTTGCAGGATGAGATCCCACAGTTCCTCAGCTCGATTGCGACAATTCAGGACGAGAACGATCCCAGGGTCCATTTGGTCAAGCACATTTTACAAAACCTATTGAGCTCCTCAGTCGAGCAGGATGGATCCACGCTGAGGACAGGCATTGTGGAGAGATTGGAGAAGAGACATGCAGAGGCACAGGAGAGACTGAAGGTTGTACAACAACAGCAACAGCAACAGCAACAGGGGACATTGCCGGGAGATTCTCAGGATTCGACAACGACAACACCAGTCGCCAAGGCCATTGTTTCGACGCAGTCGCCCTTTATCCCCACCACAGGCACCATTCTCCCTCCTTCACCACAAGTGTTGCAGGCAGAAGAAGAGGATCCAGAACTTAAGGAAATGACCTTTGACGAGCGACCTTTCCAGATCTTTGTTGCCGAAGACGATGCCATCAACGCATTCTCATTAGGGCCTCCCCGACTGATTTTTATCAACTCTGGACTTATGGACTGGCTGGAGAACGATGAAGATCTTATTGCGGCCGTTGTGGCGCATGAGTTGGCGCATGTGATCCAGAGACATACTATGGAGACTCATGGTCGTGAGACGGTCATGTTGTTCCTAGCCGGTACGATTTTTTACCACTTACTGATCCCCTTCGGACTTGTGCCATGTTGTACGACACCGTTATCTCATTGACAGAATTGCGCTAAACATTTCGTTATCATGTCTTGTATTTTACCCGTTTAGATTTGGTGCGGAGTGCGCTGTGGACTGTGTCGATCCCGCTGGGACCATGGTTCAACTCTTGGGTGGACGAGATGACCAACAATCTTTTGCACTTTACCGCGTCAGGACCACTTCATCAGACGATTGAGGTCGAGGCCGATACGGTGTCGTTGACACTTATGGCCCTGGCGGGATACGATCCCATGCACGCGGTCAGGCTGTGGGAGCAATGGGCAGACAAGGATCAGAGGGAGATGGCCGAGGAAGACTCCGTGGAGGTACACAAATGGACCGACTGGATGTACGACCACCCACCTTCGGCAGAGCGTGCAAGATACCTTAAAGAAGCTGTGATGCCTGCCAGAGATATGTGGGAAAAGGTGTTGAAGCGCAAGAAGGCGCCGATGAGGAGATTCATGTCGCTGGACAATCGGCTCAAGACCCATGTGGACGAAGATGGGGACTTGACGGAAGGAACAGTGCAGGATGTCATGGAGACCATGGATGAACTGTTGAAGAAGCAGGAGGAAGAAGAGGAGGAGGAGCGGAGACAGAAAGGGTTCAGGGGGACAGTTCGGCGGTGGGCTAGTTGGCGGCCGTGGGGTCACTCCGATGTGGACGTGAATGTGGGATCGAATGAACCTGCAAAGGCGGCATAGAGTAGGAATTTTAATGACATTTTAAATTATTTCTCAAATCAGGAATGCACGATTTCATGCATAGATGGGCCTTGGTGCGCAAGGTCAGCGGTGATGGGTGTTGGAGTGTGGGCAAGCAGAGAAATGACCATAGGCTAACTTTTTTCTCCTGCTGCCTTCTTACTTGAACAACCGTGGCGATCGCAAATCTCAACACTGGCGGTTTAATTTTTGACTTTCTTTCATTCTCTTCTCTTTAGCCTCTCCATCCCTCCTTGTACAGTCGAGGCCGCCTGAGAAAACCAGGCTTATGCCAGCAGATTATGTGGAGGTAAAAGGCAGGAAGATCCTCTATCATGGCATATCGATAAAACGTGAACCACTCAGGACATGTGCGCCCAAAAAGTACCACAAAGATTACCTCATGGAACATGGTTTGTTGATGAACATTAACAAAGTACATAAAAATGAAAGCACTAGTTGTGTTTGTTTGTTTGCCCAAAGAGTGGGGGCCGGAATTGCGGGCAGTTTTTAATGAATAGAAAATGAAAGTTGACGACCAGCCTCCATTATGTCAACTGGTTTATGAGCTATGGATATCTTGAAAGTTGAAAAGAAAGCAGGAAAGAAAATTACAGTACGATACCAGCAATGCAGGCCGACATGATGGTCGACATGGCACCGGCAATGATGGCCGAGACGGCAACACGGGCAATGTCACCAGCACGGGAGGGGGCCATCTTGCCCAAGAGCGAGATCTGGGAACCCAAGGAGGAAGGGTTGGCAAAGGAGCAGCAGGCAAAGGTGGCCAACATCTTTCCGCGCTCGGTGGCATCGGTGAAGAATCCAGCGCTCTGGGCCTGAGCGAAACCGACAAACTCGTTGATGATGTACTTGACACCCATCATCTTGGAGGCGGCATAGACATCCTGCGAGGGCATGCCCAAGATCCAGGCAACGGGGTAGAAGCAGTATCCGATGAGGCGCTCGATGGTGATACCAGTGACACCCAGGAAGACAAAGAGCCAGTTGAGGACATAGTTGGCGCAGGCCAGGAGAGAGATGAAACCGACCAGGACAGCAGAGATGACAATGCAGAGCTGCATACCGAGAATAGAGCCGTTGGCGAGGGCGTGGACAAAGGAATCCTCGGCCTCGGGACGCTCAAGGGTGACGTTCTTGCCGCGGGTAAGAGGGACCTCCTCCTCGGGGTAGCGCATCTTGGAGGTGACAATGGCACAGGGGACGGACATGACGCAGCAGGTGATCAAGTGGGTGGGCGAGGCACCGAAACCAATGAGACCCAGATAGACCGATCCCGAGATGGTGGCGAATCCAGAGGCGAGGACCTGGTGAATCTCGGCGTTGGTGGCGTGCTCGAGGTAAGGACCAACCAACATGGCAGACTCGGTCATTCCAACGAAGGGAGCAGCGCAGGCAGCAATGACCTCGACACCAGAGATTTCGAAAAAGTAGACGATGACTCTGCCCATGGCACCAATGGCGGCCTGGATGATGTTGTAGTAGTAGAGGACCTGGATGACGGCTCCGAAGAAGATGATGGCGGGCAAGACACCGAACAAGAAGGAGCCTCCATATGCCTTCATCATGTCGTCTCCGATGATGAATCCGATACCGGCAGAGGAAAAGCCCAAGAAGGTGGCCATAAAACCTCCGATGTAGGAGAAGATGGTGCGGCCAAAATCGGTGCGGATGACAAAGAGACCCAAAATGTACTGGAGACCAATGCCGACGGCTACCGTGGGCCAGTGGATGGCGCTGCGGTTGCGGGAGGTGACATAAAAACAGAGGACAAAGAGGGTCAATCCGCAGAGGGAGATGACACGCTGGACACGGGTGCCATTGGCATCATCCTCGGGGATGACAGCGGTCAAGATCATGGCGACGGGGAAGATGCCGTATCCGATAACCTGGCGAATGCGGAGGGGGAGCTTGCCAACAGCGCCGGCGACGGCGTTCCAGGTAGCCTTGGCGGGGCGGGCGAAGGTGCCCTCGGGGGAGTAGGCCGAAATCAAGTAAAGAGTGGTGAATCCATAGGCGACGGCCAAAACCGAGATGGGGCCAGCCTTGTTCAACACAATTGAGACAACCAAGAATGCTATCAGAGCAGGGAGGAGAGGATGCATGGTCAGATGTGGACAGTATGTATGGGAGGATTACTGGGGAGGGGAGTTCCAAGCGACGTTAATTTCGGGTAGGTTTGTTTGCTCACACCACCGCACATGGACAACAACAGATACGTTGGCGGTAACTCAGCCAGGGACACACCTTCGTCCCGACAAGAATAAACGAACGTCAATACTGTTATCGCAGAGATGTTCAATAATATGAACAAGTACAGCAAACGAGTAAAGACTGATAGAATGAAATGCCATCATCGCCATGCAATCCACCTCTCCTATCCCCCTTCCTCCTTCTCTTCGTCTCTTTAGCGCCTGTCAATGTGCTTGGTTGCAGCTATTGCATATTTCACAATGCACCCGCTTGAAAGTGTGGGCGCATATGTCGCATGAAAAACCCTCTATCCTTGTCCTCCCTCCTCCCCTTTCTCCAAAAAATAAAATAAAAAATAAAATAAAAATAAGAACATACCGGTGAAGCAGACCCAGAGGAAAGCATGTACCAACATCTTGAAGAGCTTCCTGCGGAGTCCAAGCACCTTCTCGTCCTTTGTCTCCTCGCGTGCATCATATCCACCATGATCAGCAGCCTTCTCGTCGACAAACTCCTCATTCGATCCCTTGCGGTGGAAGAGGGTCTGGTCTTTCTCGTCCTGGGTGGTGTAGGAGTCGATGTGTTCGACGTGAGCGGGAGCATCCTTGAGCTCTGGCTGTTCGGATGACATGTTGTGTGTGTGAAAAAGAAGGGGGGGGGGGGGGGGGGGGAGAGTGAAGGTAAAGGGAAAAGGGTATGGAAGGATTTGAACGTTGAAATCAAGCCAAAGAGGAAAAAAGTTGCGGACACTGTGTCCTTTTTATATACACCTTGGAAGAACAGGCTAAAACGGAGTGGTGTGAACAAACGGTCGCTCAGGATGTTATTGAATTGAACTTGTACGCACTCAATACACACAAACCCTACTTCTCGCCCTATTGTAAGTAGGGGCAACCACGAGGAAGGAAAGAATAACAAAGAGAGTACCCTCGCCACAACGAAAACAACCAGACAAGTCCGATCTCTTTGCTGTTTTCTATGAGTCGTCTCGTTATTATATCCACAAGGATGAGAGAAAAGAAGTGCAATGGCCAGGTCTGCTTGATTGTCTAACGCCGTCTCTCTTTCTCTTTAGGCTATTTGTTTGCTCTCTTTCTCTTGTGTTTGTGTCTACTCACTTGTCCTTCTCGTTTGCATACAAGCAACAGATGGCATTCATTCGCACCATCGCCCTTCTTTTTTTGTTTGTTAGTGTGTGTGTCTACCCTTTCCCTTCAATCGACCACAACCCCTTTGTTTGTGTATCTTTTGTCGTCCGATTGGCTAATGGGCCACCTTTTGTTAGCCAAAACCCTTGCGAGGATGGACCCATGGTATTGCTTCCCTCCACTTGGTTGGTTGGTTGGTCAAGAGAAAAAAAAAATAGCGATCGCAGGCACCCCAATAAACAGAAGAGTGTTTGTTTATTGCTTCATGCATTACAACACTCTTCCTTGTGTCCATGCGGAATAGACCTCTTCCACGGAAGGAAGCCGATTTTTAACTTTGTCGAGTTGCTGTTAATATTGTGTAAACAAACGGTGTGCGCGTGTATGATAGAGAGCAGAACGGCACCATCCTCCCTTTTACTTTCTTTACTTTCCAAGGCGTGGAAGCTCGTTTTTATAAAGGCTGAAGGGGGTCCAGTGAGTGATCGACGACGCTAACTGATGGCATTGATGGCACTGATGGCACTGATGGTTCAGACGGTTCCGATGCGTTGAACGCCGACCTTGTTTGTCTTTCATCGGAATACTGTGCATCCTCATCTTTCTCTTCTTAATTTGCAGCGGAGAAGGGGTGGCAACACCGTCAATAGCATCAACAGATTCACATCAACATGAACAAAGTAGAGTGCATTCGATCGTCTCTCCCCCTTCATTACAGGCACCCACTCCTTGCTCCAACTCGTGTGCCTAGATTGCCATTCCCATTTACCCTTGACTTCCTTGCCTGCACCCAAAGGGTGAACAACCAACAAAGTTTATATTTCCCTCCTTTTCGTATCGAATGTATCTCTTCGGACGTACGCCACGCCCTTGAGAAGTTGAAGGACCGCAGTGCGGGGAGGAGGTAGAGGAGGAGGAAAAGAATCAGTGGCGTGTGGCAGTTTCTAGTCTTCCTTCTGATTTTTTTCTGTGGCGTGCATTTGGAGGAGGTACGTTATGACAGCCTGTCACAATGCACATCCCATGGCAAAAAAAAAAGTTGATAAGTAAAAACGGCAACAGCAGTTTGCGCTTTTTTTTTCCTGGGAGCGTTATCTTTGTGGAGAGGGATGGACCCAGGAACACAAACACACTCACACAAACACAACAACAACAAACGAACCTAAAAAATAGGAACCACAATGAAAAGAAAACACCCCTCCAAATAAAACAAACATGTACTGCCTTCAGGGGAGGACGGCCATTGGCTCACACACACGTTTGTTCTATGTCGTGTCGACTTTGTTTCTCGAGTACCTTTTCCCTCTCGCTTCCTGTGTGTGTGCATCCCTACTCTACCCACCCACGCCCTAAGCTCTGTCCAATCCCCGGCCGCCGTCCCTTCTCCAGCACTTCCGATATCAGCCCTTTGTGCAACCTACTCTTTTCATTCATGTATCCTATCTTTCCCGTTGGCCCACTTCCTTTACTGTTTCTTGAAATGGAGTTTTGTCTCTTCAAACAAGTTTTCTGCTTCGCATGCTTCCCTTCTTGTTCTGTTGGACAGTTTTAGTCTTGGTATTTTACTCTTCATACCTTTCGCCGAAAGGAAAATGAGGGTTCAAAACATGCTTGTTCGAAAACGAAGTTTATCCATTATAACCACATCCAAAAGGGTTGTTCTGTACCTCTTACATACGGCAGACTTTAGTCCAGCAAAGAAAATGCAAGGTCTGGGCTTTTGCAGGTTGCGGCTCTCTACTTCTCTTCCCCGCCTTTCCGGGATTCCCTTTTTCAAACAAGAGCATAACGCAGGTCCACTTGAGTTGTTCAAGGTCCGTCCATGGAATTATTTTTTTCATTTTTTGCAGTTTTGTTGACGCTTGATGAGGAATAGAGAAGGGGTGACAAAGACACACGAGAGCAGTAAGGAAAACAAGGTGGGCAGCCAAACGGAACAAGACGTCAACAAGAGAAAAGGGGGTGAGAGAGAGAGCGTGGAAAAGTAGCCTCTTTTAGAACAGTCGATTTCACGATCTCGCTTGTTGGTATCGGTGAGTTAGGAGTGTGAGAGAGGTGGAAAATTGTCCTCATTACTTGTTTTGTGGTTCGAGTATAGTTTACCAGCTCAGTACCTTTCATCTATCGCCAATCTACTCAATCTTCTTCCATCTTCTCTTCCTCGTCGCTTCTCATGCAGCAAAAAGAAACAGGTTCTCGACTAAGGTTGACCGGAAAAGGGAATGGGAAGAGAACAAAATATTCAACATGTGTTTGAAGGCAACGACGGCTCACCAGTTCTCATCCATCCACAACTTGCATGCTCTTCGACTATAGAGAGAAAAGAACAAGAGAATAGGAGGAAGGGAAAATACTCTCCCACGTGCATATCGCTTCACTTTGCCCCATGGACCTTGCCTTTCTTTACTCGTGAGAACATAAAACACCACCTCACTTCCTGGTCGACTTGATGGGAAAATGAATTGACAGTTATGAATTGCAGTTGCTTGTTGAGTGTCTTTCAATGGCATCTCTTTCTTCTCTTCTCTTCAACTCTTTATTCTCTTTCTGTTTTTTCTGGACATAACACCTAGCCAACTCTATCTCACCAACCTTCTCACCTTCCTTCCTGAACCCTCTGCATTCTTCTTTGTACTACTAGTTTCCAAATGTCTTTGTTTACCTTTTCAACCCTATAAGCGACAGCGCTGTGTACGGCTCACTTGTTTTCTTTTTCGCTATCTGTATCGGAAGGAAGGACCCAACCACAAGGGTAGTTTGTTGTTGTTTGGCAAATAGTCTCGTGCTTCGTTTGTCACACTGGGGCTACCTCGACTAGCTTTCGCCCACCTTCCCCACCTTTTTTTTCATCATAAAAAGTAATAGAGTTGAGGCGTCAGAAGACTAAACAAAACGTTAGTCCCCTGGCAGTTGGAAAGTAGTAAGGCGAGGTGTGATACCCCACGTTTTACTGTATTTGGACAACTGGAGAGAGAACATCATCCCATGGCCCACCCCTTCGCATTTGCGGCTCTCTACTCCACTATTGCCCACTTCAAGTATCACTTTGCTCGTACCATTGGAATTGGGAGCTCAAGTACCTTACAGCGTAGGCGATACCAAAAAGACTTGACTTTTTGTTGTGCACTCTATTCGTGGGAAACTAATACAATAACAACGAAGCGCTGTCACCTGCCTATTGCTTTTCACCCCCGCGCATTTCACCCCCCGATAAAGTGAAGAAGTGGGCAATGAAAACAGAACGTACAAGATAAGGACGGATCATAATCTGGACCAACGAACAAATTAAGAGGAGCTACTGAACTGTACATAGAGTGCCTGGTTCTCAATGGGGTCCCGGTCTGGCTCTCCAGACTCAGAAGAGGAATATGTTTGGTCGTTTTTTTTCCTATTCAGCACTTCCGACTCCGCTAATACACCACAGCGATCATGACCTTGACCTTTGAGCCTGGACATCCCGCTCTAGTCCTCTTTATCCTTCTCTCCGGAGATATTTCCGAAGTGCATGTCTGCAAAATGGCCAAAAAAAAAAAAAAAAAGATATCTATCTCAGCGCGTCTTTGATTTAATTATGTTCACAACAAGCCTTCATTTTATTCTCCCTAGAATTGCCGCATACACTTTCAAGCGCCAGAGGGTGGAGGGGGAGGAGACACTAGGTTCTGATAGGACCGCATGGATCTTAGGGCAGTAGGCGATCCAGGGACACTTCTGTGAGGCGACCGGGGAGGGATCATGGGAGGTACTCCTCCGCCCTGCGTGGCCACCGCCAACGCCAATGGGTTCTTGGATGGCGAGACTGGCGTAATGCTGTCGCTGACGGGTGGGGTCGGAGGCAAAGGGACTGACGGTGAGGTAGGGAAGTAGTACGATCCAGGGATGACCGGTGGGGCCTTCATTGCTGAGGGCGAGGGTCGAGGAGGTTGAGCGGTCGAGTGCGGGGGTGTCAAGGGCAACGGTATCAACGGTGGAGCCGCCAGGCCGTCCATAGGCAGGGAATCTACAACAACTCTAACAGAGGCTTCACCAGTGATGGCGGCATTGGAGACGACGATAGAAGGATCCTGGTGGTATCCTCGGCGCATGCTCTTCATGTTCCCCGCCCAGTCTTCGTCATTATGCAAATCCAAGTCCTCTTCCTCTGTCGTGACCTCGTCTCCATCCTCCATGATCGACAAGGTCGGCGATGTAACTCCATGATGATAATCCCTCGTGGACACACTCGAGCCCGCACTATCCTTCCGTCCACTCAACAGCGGGGGAGGCGGATGATCTCCAACAGCCGCAGTGAACAGCGACAATTTGCGAAGACCAGGGTAGAGCCCCAAAGCAGCCGCGTGAAGCGAGGGGGACATGCCTCCACCAGGAGAGTGAGTTCCGTCATGATAGAGCCCATTACTGCCACGTCTCTGCTGTTGGTGTTGTTGCTGTTGGTACTGTTGTTGGCGACTCCTGTAGCCTTCGTCCATGGAGGTGTGGTGGTCTTCTTCCTCGTGGGCTCCAAAGTTCTCAGATGCAGAGGAGTATAAAGAGGCAGAGGAGCAGCTCGATAGAGGGCGGCTATTGGAGTCCACCTCCGTTGCATCCTGCGATGGAGCTGGGAATCGAAAAGAGCTAACATTGTGCAGCACGCGCTTTGCGGGTTCCTGTCCAACGACGTTGTGCGATGATGAGGCGCGAGGACTGTTGATAACAACAGATGGGATATCCTCGTTTACTACAGCTGGGCCCCGGTATGGTGCGGGTGAAGGAGTCATCGAGGTGAGGGCTGGATGAGTCGTGTTGATAGGCTCCCGGGGCATCTGGAGAACAGAGTTGGGGGAAGGCGAGGTCGAGGGTGTGCATCCATCCGCTGGAGTGACAGACGCTAGAGGCGAAGACGCTGTCCTATACACTCTTCCAGGAGCAGATGTTGGTGAAGGCAAAGATGATATCGAGGCGCCATCCTGGCTGGGCGACATGGGTGACGCATCCTGTCCAGTGTTCCTTGAGGTCACAAACGAGCACATGGATGATGACACTGTCGAAGTCGACGTTGCTGGTGATCCTTCCACCGAAGACATAGGGGTGGTCAACTCGGAAGGCCTACGAATGACTTCTCTTGAGGGCGCATCTCCTGCAAAGGTCCTGGTTGCACCTCCTGTTAACAATGGCGAGATATTTTGTCCACCTTGATCACTGACTCGGATGAGCACTGGCGATGAAGACTGTCTCCTAGCCATGTACGCAGGTCGCAATGAAGTTCCTGGCGCTCCAGATGACGACGAAGGAGTTGGTCCGCCGTGCTGGTCGTTAGAGAGCGGACCAGACCTAGGCCCATTCTCAGTAGGCGACAATGTCACGGCAGCAGCGGCAGAGCTCCGGCGGGGCAACTCGTTTCTCTGGGTACTGTTCGAGTCACCCTTGAACAAATGGTCGTTTGTATGTCGCTTAGGTGGTGGCAGGGACCTCATATGGAAATCGGAACGGTCCTCCTCCTCCATAAACGAGGCGTTCATGGGCGACATCGGGTGTCTTGATCCCAGTCCTGGCGACGAAGACATTTGTCGGCGAGACAAAGACGACAACGGTGCTGGAAGGCCTGATGAGGAAGGGAAGCCTGAAGAGGAGACACCGGATCCTGCAGACAGCGAGTTGGACCGGGGGCTTCCGTTGTTACTCGACTTTGTACTACCTCCTCCTGGCGAAGCATTTGAAATCTCGGACAAGGGAATGCCCAACGATGCTGTAGGAGGCAGCTGCGATCCGGGGTTGGGGCTGAGGGGCGAAATCCCGGCCGTGAATCCAGAGATAGGGCTCCGATCAGACTCGATCGTCGTGGGTAGTTCTAGCGGCGCATAAGCCATCTGTTCCTGAACACTGATAATCTTGCCGCCATCCTGCCGAGGCGGGCTCTGGGATTCTTGCAGCCCAGACTCGGCTTCGTCTGCTCCGTCTGACAAAGCAGACGACTCGGACACAGTCGCCAAGTGGAGTTGGATTGGCATCGAGTGGTATGCCCCGCCACCCTTGACCATAGAAGTGGGTCGTGACTTTTGGGTTTCCTGCAGCTCTGCCTGACGACGCCTCATCTCTTCGGCCTCCATCTCGATCGCCATTGCAAGCTCGTCTGGTGCAACAATATGCCTTGACACTCCCACTCCCTTGAACAATTCCGACTGCTGCTGCTGATACTGCTGTTGCTGTTGCTGTTGCTGTTGCTGGTCAATGAACTGTTGCTGCTGTTGTAGTGGCTGAGGTTTCCGAGAAAGTTGGAGCTTCTGCATGGTCCGGTGATGGTTTGCCACAAAGTAGTTGCCGTCCAGTGCAGTACCCGACAGAGCAGTCTTATCGACCGCTCCAAATTCTGATCCCATCTGTAGACCCATCTTGCGTGAGAGACTAAACGTCTCCTTATTGTTGCTGCCGGGTCTATGGTTGGACGCCGAGGAAGGTGCACGGGGCGGTGGCGGTGGCAGGGGTTGGGAAGGCGCTGCTGAGAGGGGTGTCTGTGGCCGTATAGAGTACCCTCCGTTTGACTTTGAAGAGATCTCCGGTGTTCGGCTGTAGTCCTGTTGTTGACTCTGCTGCGAGAAAGACTCTTCTAGAACACTCACGGACGGCGACCGTCTCCTGGTAGGCGAAGATGCCGAGCTCCGCAAGTGCAACGGTGGGAGTGGAACCGCACTGGGGTCGATTCCAAACTCGGCGTCTCGGGGCAGGGAGACCATCGATCTGGACGAAAGACCTCTTCCTGAACCACCATTGTAGTTTGTCAGCAGGGACCCATCGGCCTTCATCATGATGGGACTCGAGATCTCCGAAATGTTCCCTTGGCTACCACTCTTGTCTGAGGACGAAGACCAGAGCGATGATTTCCCAGCCTTCTTTTCTTCCTTGGCAGTCTCCTTGGCCGCCTTCTTCTCCTCCTTGGCCTTCCTGCTCGCAATAGCATTGGGACTTTCGGGACGGAATTTTTTGTTGTGGAAGGTGCAAGTCTTGGCCATCTGTGTGCAGCCGCTGTAGTGACAAACTCCAGATCCAAACAGCTTCAGTCCAGAGCTTCCACTACCACTGCCACTCCCGCTGTGGTTCGACCCGGCATTGCTGCCGTCCTTCTTGTCCTTTTTGTGTTTGCTGCCGCCCGTGACCAGACCCAGGATCGTGGCGCCGGCACTCTTGGGCTTTGAAGGTAGACTAGAATCGGTTGCTGTTGAGCTGAGGCCATTCTCAGAGTTGAGGTCGTTGATGGTCGATACGTCGCCTGAGGAGGCAATGGTCGAGATTGAGGTCGAGGAGGCAATGCTCTCGGCGCGCTTTGAAGGGGAGCCGTTTTCAAGGACTCGATAGAATGTCCTGGGAGAGGCTGATCCGGTGTGGCTGTGGGCGTGATGGTTGTTGTTGTTGCTGCTGCTGTTGTTGTTGCTGCTGCTGTTGTTGTTGCTGCTGCTGTTGTTGTTGCTGCTACTGAGGACGGATGGGTGTTGAGACGACAGGGTTGGGGATGCAAAGGGTGATCCAGCGACACTTGTCGATGGAGACCCAGCGCCTATGTTTTAATTTGGATTAAAGATAACAAGGTTAATTTAGGACCATGCGGATTATTACCTCATGGCGCATCCATGCAGCATACATGGGAATTGTTCCAAAAGCATACAACAAAGACATTGCATACAACCAAGTCAAACAGTACATACCATTTTCAGCGGAAAGACCGGAATGGATACTGGATCGGATCGGGTGCATGTGCGGACTGGCCGATCCCACAAGGAAGCCATTCCCTGCGCCTGGCGAGGGTCGGGGCTGATGCAAACTCGACCGACCCTGGTAATCAGCCGAAAACCGGATTGCCTCCGAAGTCACAGACGACTGGTCCGTAAAAGTCGATCCCGCATACCCCGTACTGCTGGTCGCATAGGAGAGCGGCGTCGGGTGGATGGGTTGATGGCTTGCACCACCACTCACAATAGGGCTGCCTTGCAAGTGAGCTTGCTGTTCACTACGATCATTACCGCCACGGATCGAGTCCATACTCGACTTGGAAGCCTGATTCTGTTGGGTCAATGCAAAGATGTACTCGAGGTTTGTGCTGGTATTGGTGCTGGTGTTGGGCATCGATGATGTAGACGACCAGGTGTCGTTGTTGTCCTCATGCGACTGCGAGAAATTCGGTGGGATGTACGGCAACCTTGGCTGGCTCTTTGTTGTTGACGTTATTGTCGAGTCTGACATGCTTCCTGTGGGTGCTCCTGGTTCTCCTGCAGTAGAAGAATCGTCCAGATGGAGTCTATCAAGGACCTTGTCGATAATGGACTGGCCAGGGACCACACCACCCTGGTCCATCCTTCGCGAGAGGCCGCCACTAGCAGCATCGCCAGTCTGCTGCAATCCCAATCCTTTGGCAGACGAAGTAGCGGCCTTGGAGAACCATGTGGCAGTGGCATGGTTGATGTGGAGTTGGAGGGAATAGAGCCAGTTATGGAGCGACTGGGCAGATTCCGTAAAGAAGACGTGGTGTTGCTGTTGGTGTGGGATAGGTTCGGGCGAGGAGAGCCGGAAGGCGAGTTTTGACTTGCGGGATATCTCTGGGCCAGCTGCGAGGATGGAGTACTCGGAGAGGTGCAGCATTCCCAGGGGCTTTGTGTCGGTCTAGTGTATTTGAAGGAGTTAGTTTATGTTTTGCTTAGTTTTTTTGTGCACATGAAGACCGGAGTGTACTGTGAATAAGCAAGAGACAACCGCGCCTTGCACCCCTCCTCTCTCTATTTTTTTGGCCTAACATTCCTCGAATGTGTAATCAAAAAAAGAAGGTCAAGAGGTTTTCTTGACAGGAGAGAAGCGAGAGAAAGAGACGGAAGATGAAGAGAAGAGATAATCCAAAGGATCCAATTTGTCCGCGGACAAATAATAAAGCAGCTTGGCGGGTTACCAAAACACAGACAAACACTAAAAACAACAAACGACATCTTTGTCTCTCTGTCTCTCTGTCTCTCTCGCTCGCTCATTATCGGAAAGAAAAGAAAAAAGACCGCTCGCAAAGACAAGTAATCCGCCGCCGACGCTGTTGCAGTTGTTTTTGTGTCTCGTCGCTGTTGCTGTGTAGAGGCACACAGTTGCTGTGCGTCCATGTTTCCCATCAAAAACATGTGTATCGGTGCTTGTCTCTGAATGGATGAACAGATCGATGGTCGTGCAAAGGCTCACTTCCCACCTCCATCCGCCGTTTCTCCTCCGACATCTTAGTCACCCGTGAGAAAGAACTGTAGATAATGAAAAAAACAACTTACATTGGTCCGATAAAAGAACAGACGGTCCTCACGGAGAACACACCAACGCCGCTTCCAGACCAACTGTAGTGACGACGATCGCTTGTGGAGCCACTCCTGCATCATCACATTATCGCCACCTTCATGTATGTATCCGTGGAGATGTTGTTGCTGCAGCTGCTGCTGAAGGTCATGGTCGAATGACCCATCCTCGATTTGCTGTTGTTGCAGCTGTTGGAGTTGGAGCATGGAGGGGATCGATGAGACAGCTTGTTGGACTGAGGGTAGTTCCCGAGAGCTGTTGTTGCTGTTACTGCTGCTGTTGCTGTTGTGACCGATGCTGTGGTTGTGGCTGTGGTGGTGATGATGATGGGACCCATTGTTATAATGGTCTCCCTTGCCAATACTGTTTTGCTTGTTGTGCTTGTTGCTATGACTACTACCACTATTGGTGGTTGATCCCTGTTGCTGAGGAGAATTAGTGTGGTGGTTCTTCAGGAAGGACATTGACCGCACAGTATTATTGTCACTGCCATTGTTATTAAAGTTGTTGGTAATATTGTTGTTGTTTGAGTAGTTTTGGTGGGCGTAGAGGAGGCTGGGATCATGATCTGCCGAGGGGTAGTGGTTGTGGCTGTGGTTGGTAAGATGTCGATTCGAGGAAGAGACGGAAGAGGTTGAGCCTGACGAGGTTGGAGGGCGGGTGAGAGTATTGTCGTATCTGGACGGGGAAGAGGTGGAGGTTGTTCTCGATGCTGGTGACTTAGACGTAGGAGGTGGGGGTAGTGGTGGGGCAGGGAGGGGGTCGAGTGGCTGTGAGGATGTCCAGTGGTTATTGTGTTGGTGACGAGTAGTTGTAGAGTTGTTGTTGTTGTTGCCGGGCTGGCTCTGATTTGTCATTATGTGTGTAACCAAGGCAGGTTGGACCAAGCGCTGCAGAGGTGGGAGAAATGGGTGAGGAGTAGGCCTTTGATGGTGGTATGTGGGAGAGGAGGGAAAAGAGACGAGGAGAGTGAAGAAGGTGAGGGGTGATGGATGGTGATACTGCCAGGGAATAGAGGGGAGGTATTAGTGTTAGCTAAAAGGGTCAAGAGCGGCTGGCGGGTGGAGAAGAAGAAGAGGACTGAAGAGAGAGTTTGAAGAAGGAGAGAAAGAGTGTGTGGGGAGAGAGAGAGAGAGAGAGAGAGGGGTGTCAAAGAAATGAGGAAAAAAAAGTGGATATGAACAACAAATCGGTTTTGATTTGTTGGGATCAGAGTCAAATGGCTTTCTGAATAGGGTTTCGATAGGGTCGTCACACTCAAAAAATCACTTGCGATGGAGGGATACATGGATATATGGATGTGTGCCATCCTGACGATACTCCTCTGATCACTAACGGTTGATGTCTTCTCGTCAATGGTTCTCCAACGGCTCTTCAATGGCGACCCCCTTTGGCTTTTTCTATCGTGTCGTGCAGTAGACTCTCTTACCACTCTCTCTCTCTCGTTTCCTCCTTTTCTTTTTCTTGGATGCTGTGCTCAAATCCATACTGTATCCCCTTTGATGAGGTTGAGCCCTTTGGCCAATTATTATTTTCCTTTTCTCGACTCGGCCAGCAAACAGCACACACACCTCGAAGGTGAGACTATGAAAACCTTTTTTTTTTTTTTTTGTTGCTCCTGCGTGGATCATCCCGCCTTTTCTCTTGCCTCTCTACTTTTCTATCTCTCTAACTCTGGGCGGTCGTATCCTGATAGTTCACCGCACAACTAAAAAGCGGTTGCGGATACCAAACTGCTACACTGTTGATGTTCGTCTGGATAGCAGAACCGTTATTATATTTCTTTACCTGCTGAGCGGGTATTATTTTTCCTGCGGCTGACTTGATACAAATCGATTCATACCCAGCAATAATGGGCCATGAAAAAGTACGCAAAACGACAACAAACAACAACAAATAAGCAACAGATCCACTCGTTCTTCTGTCATAAGTCGGTGGACCTTACCTGACTCGATAAACAAAACAAACTAATCGATCCAACTTGTCTCGACACTCGACAGGCAGTATAGACAAGATACTCTCTCCTCCCTTTCCCTCTCTCTCCCTTTACGCCCGATCCTGCCCCTGTCACGCCATCCATTGAAATCTGAAATCACACGCACGTCTGACAAAACAAAAGCAATTGAAAGTTGGTGCCCAGGGTCTGTTTAAGGGCGGTCTGGAGCAAACAAGCAAAGTAGCAGGAAATACTTTGCCAATCCTCTCTTTTCTTCCTCTTGGCCTCTCTCACTCCCTCCCTCGCTCTCTTGTTGCTCGCTTGCTTTGCTCTCGTATAGTCTTCTGTTTTCTCATGTGCTTACCTTTTCATACCTTTTTCATCCTCCGTACGCCCCGCACCACACCTGCACCCGCACCAGCTCTAACGCCCTCAAGCTTGACATGACAGGCAGCAATAAGTGGTGCAGGATACAGTCTATATGAAGGTTTAAGCTCTTCTCAACTCTGTTTTTTTATCAAGGGGCCAAACGGATATCTAAGCTCTTTCTAACGGTTCATTCATCAAGTACTGTGTGGCTCTTTTTGCACCCTCTTTTCTCACAAGGCGGAAAAGAAGGGCAATGATAATAGGCCCTAAAGCATAGACAAATGAAAAATACAAACGACATACCCCTATTATTTCTCCTTACGATAATTGATTGGTTCACCCAAACTGACGGTACAGTTTTTATCAACGGGCAATGACATTAGTCCTGTTCACGAACAAGACTAGCTTTTGATCACTTTGTACTTGTTCGGGAAGGATCCTGATTGAGTGACGGTGAGACGTTCAACCATGTCTCTGGTTTGTCTGTTAGCGTGTTAATCCCCAAAAAAAAAAAAAAAAAAAAAAAAAAAGGTACAAACGAGACGAAGGGAGAAGAGACACAGGTAGGCAAAGAGAGAAAAAGTGAGTTTTTTTATTCTAGTTTTGGGCACATTTTTGTAGAGGCAAAGCGGGGGGTAAAAGTACAAGTAAAGAGGTAAACAATAAAAGGCGAGAGATGTACAGGAAAATAAATGAAAGGGAAACCAACAACAGTAGTGAGAAATAAAAATAAAAGGTACGTGTCAGATCAATTAACGTCCTTCACTGCTGTCATCGCTCTCGGCGCCGTCTTCGATGTACTCGTTCTTATCATGACGAGAGGGCACACGTGAGAGTCGGCTGTTGGCAGTACTCTCGATCAACTGGGGTAACCGTTTAGGATGGTCCTCGTCCTCGTCCGGCCGGGGCACATGCAGATCCAAGCTCAACGTCGTCGTCGATCCTCCAGCCCGGATCATATCAGCATTACCTCCCTTTCCCAACGTACTCGCTCCGCTGCTCGCAGGTGTCCCTGCTCCTCCGTTGATACCAAGCTGGTTAGCAGTTTGGAGATTGTTCAGTTTCAGGGTACTGTTGTTCTCGTTGGCGCCTTTACTGTTCACGGATCCGAGGCCGGACTCCTCGTCGGGGTTGCGCATCATCAGGGGCATAAATCCATAGGCGGTCTCACCCATCTGGGCCATATCTGTTCCGAGCTCCTCCTCATCGTCCTTGAGACGCAAACGCAAGCCGGGGATCTTGTCCATGATGACTAGGATGCCGTAGGTAACGACAAAGGACCAAGCGGTGACGGATCCGATGGCGGCCATCTGGATAAGGACCTGGCGGTAGTTTCCATCGAGCCATCCTCCCAGGGGGACATTTGTCGCTCCAACGGGATAGGAGAGGCCGATGATAGATTGCTGGGCAAAGATTCCTGTCAAGATCAGCCCACTAATATTAACAGCAAGCAAAAAGAGGAGGAAGGGTTGTTAGTCATCAAAGAAAATACAATAAAACAAGAGGTGGTGACGGCGACGCTTGTGTCGGTGGTCGAATTGCTGTATCGTTTTGCTAGTTCTGGAGGGAAGACTTACATCAAGCCACCGACATAGTGGACGGCAAAGACATCGAGGGCATCATCGAAATGGTACTTGGACTTCCAACTAACGCAGAGGTTGCAGACTCCAGCACCGACAAGGCCAAAGACAAGCGAGCTCGAGCTCGACACATATCCCGATCCAGGCGTAATCGTAGCCAGACCAGCAACAGCACCCGTGCAAAATCCAATCAGTGTCAACTTCTTGTTGTGACGGTAGTCCAACATGACCCAGACGAGACCTCCAACACAGGCTGACAGGTGAGAGTTGATGATCGTTTGAATTCCACGCGCATTGGCAGCGAGTGCAGAGCCTCCGTTGAATCCGAACCATCCAAACCAAAGGAGGGCAGTTCCGATAAAGACAAACGCAACGTTGTGAGGGACGGTCGAAGGGTGGTTGTAGTCCTTGCGCTTGCCCAAGACCATTGCATAGGCGACGGCAGCAGATCCAGAACTGATGTGGACAGGAGTACCGCCGGCATAGTCCATGACACCCAATACAGTCAACCACCCGTTGGGGCCCCAGACCCAGTAGGTGATGACATCATAGACAAGGGTGCTCCAGATAAACAAAAACAGGATACTGGGCATGATCCGCATGCGCTCGGCAGTGGCGCCATAGGCAAGGGCAGGAGTAATGGCGGCAAACATGAGCTGGAACAGGAAGAAGGCGCTCATCGGGATATTGGGGGCATTGGGATGAGGCTCCCAGCTGATACCACGACCGACGAAATGATCCAGGTTTCCGATGAAGGGACCTCCGGTGGCGGAGAAGGTGAGGGAGAAGCCCCAAAAATACCATTGGATGGAGACGAGGGCGACGGAGAGGACGGTGAGCATCATGAGCGAGAGCGAGTGCTTCATGCGGGCCATGCCGGCGTAGAAGAGGCCCAGGCCGGGGCACATCAGGAAGACGAGGGCTGTTGAGGTGAGCACCCAGGCAATATCGCCGGGCAGGTAGTCTGGATGCGGTGTGGCGGGATCCATTGTTATATGCGGTTGTTGTTGTGAAGAAGAGAGGTAGAGACGCGTTTACGTCGCGGGAGGACAGATGAGGTGATGTGTGTCACTAGTTCTAGTTGCGGGTGAGGATCAAAGTCTGATCAGGTCGACCCTTTGCTTACGGCAAAAGGTGGCTGTGGGTGGTGCTCGGTGGCGGGTTGGTGGCGGTATGTGTGTGTCTGTGCAGGGTATTGTCACTCGTTGCGGACAAGCAAAACAAAGGGTAACAATCGTTGTTGTGCAAGGATGGTGTGGAGAGCGACAGGAAGAGGCAGAAACCAAAAAAAAAGAAATAAAAAGTGTACAAGAAGGTGGTGTTTAATGTCCGGACAACGTGAAAAGATAAGTTTGTTGGTGAAGACGGAAAGAGGAGACGAAGAAGGACGAAAAGAAATGAGAAGAAAAAAAATGGAAACACAAGGAAAGATAACAGGCCTTTTATATCGTCTAGTAAGCCAAACATGTCATCGGAAAGAAAAAAGATTAGGATTAGGATTAGGCAGGGTGCTGGATACGACTGGCTTGGATTGGATACAAACAAAGGGAGAGGGAGGGAAAAAAAGGGTGAACAATTCAATGATAAGGTACTCATCTTCGCTTTGCATATGATAGCCAAAAAGTCAGCAAGCTATGGTTACTAATATTCATGTACATATTACAAGGACGATGCGATATGGTCCTGGCATCTCCTACACTTCAAGAAAAAGCCTTCAATTGCTAATTAAAAGGACCAAGGATGTCCCAGGGTTACTGACGGGCCCCACTGAGATGCACTCTCATCTTCTTCCCTCCTTCTTTGTTTCGCACTGTACCGAAAAATTGACTCTTTTGTATTTAACATATCTTTCGTTCTGACCAGGTGAAAAGAATGAGCTTCACGGGGCATTTCAAGACGCAGCTTCTTTCTGGCATCGATCTCCATTGTCAGCCAGTTGCTTGTCCAACTACACAATAAATACCCATTTAAGGCAGAGCAAAAAACAAGAGGTTCAAACAAAACAAGTAGTTGCAGCAGTTAAACATTGAAGGGAGGATGGAAGGAACACTAGGTAAGGAAGAATCAGGATGAACAAGTTGAAAAAAGTATCGGACGGTCGGCAAGTAACTCAACCTGTTCACTTTTTCCGTTTGCACCCCTTTCACACTAGACAGAGCACCACCCCTCTTTCTTCTTTGCCCTTTTTTGGCGTTCCATCTCCACCCCTTCTTCAGCCCCTCGTTGTTCGTTCCTCGGGAGGTTATTCTGGTTACTGCAGCATTGGAGAATCGCAATGATTCGGAAGCGAAATGCCAAAGAGGGTCCGTCAGTCTGGTTGTCAGGGTAAATGTGATGGGTATATGCGGATCTGAAAAAATCTCTTCATTTATGGCTTTGGTACTTCCTCCATCAAACAGGGTCTCGACGGCGATAGGTGCTCAACACTGAAAGAGAGTTTATCTCCTGCCTGTCCACGGAGTGACGGAGTGACAGGAGGGCTGAGAATGTCATCGCTTACGATAAAGAACCGCTTTTAGATTCGGCACATGGGGGGTGTGAAGTAAATGAACCACTAGAAAACGAGAGGGACGTTACTTTCATTCCACATGCTAATCGCTCCTGATGATTTTGTTCATACAACACGCGATCATTTCGGAAGTTCTAGATGCAATGCACTCTCTCACTCTTTCTCTCGCGATACCTTCTTTCGGAGCCGTTTTCCTTTTTTTTGCCAAGCAGTTCCTTCGGTGGAAGATGAAGGACGATGATTAAGAGCAACACTTCTACGGAAGGAGGATAGACAGCTGTCTGAATGTCCCTAAAGAAGCGGAAGTGTGGACTATCGCATCTCATCTTTAGAAAAAAAAGAGTCTTTAAACGTGTGTTTGAGCAAGCCGATGATGATGATGATGATGATGATGGACACAAGTTGCATTTTATTCTCCTTGCTATTAGTAGGAAAACACATCCTTGTGCCCATTGGCCGCTCTTGGGTGTGTCCGAAGAATTGTACAGTACAAACCACAGAAAAAAATGCAAGGTCGGTCGGACAATAGGGTGGGGTTGAGAACAGTACAGTAGGACAGTGTTCCCTTTTCCCCAGTTTTAGCTAAAAGAAGGATTTTTTTGAAGGGGCGACGATTCACGCGGATAGGACGGCAGTCACTATATGACTATGAGTTTTGATAGATAAGTGTCTCTTTCTGTCTTGCAAACACATGAATCTTGCGAGACGGATCCCGAACACTTCCCCTTCCGTTCCCTGCTCCAATTTTTTGTTTGTCCAGTGCAAGCAACATGTATACACCGTTATTACTGGCTAATGGATTGAAGTAGCGCATGAGACGACGGTATCGTCCATAAATTATGTCCCTTGTCATCATCTCATCTGGCGCCATGTCTTGCCCTTCCTTCCTTCCTTCCTTCCTTCTTTCACACTCACTCAGCCCTCTCAAGACGTACTGGGTGTTCAAGGTGATGGATCCAAGAGGGCATTAACCCATTCGCTAGGCTGAGCTCAGGATATAAAGCATTTGCCTTGGTTTTCTGAGATGAGATTATTACTGTACACTATATGACAGCGGGGCAATAGAATCGTAGAAAGGTAACATATCGTCGTCGTCCTTCGGATAACCTAGCCATTGCACCTAACAATCGACATCATATCATATCATATCATATCATATCATATCATATCATATCATATCATATCATATCATATCATATCATATCGTCAAATTTTACTTATGTCAAGGGTATCCCTTCGTCCGTCATTAGTCATTGACAGACTAGGATAAAAAAACTATAGTTTCAATCTATAGAGGTTATGGGCTTTGCGGCGACGGTCTTGCAAGGGAAGGGGGGCGTCCGAGATGCTTAAGGTAATGTTTGCCGATGATAGCAATGTTGTGCGCACCCACCAAGTCTCGGTGAATCCACCGCCTGCATTTCACACACGCACAGGTTCTCATCGAGGGCTTAGCAAGTCTTGTCGTCTCACCCTTGGAAACGCAGGTTGGGCACATTGTAGATGTAAGATATGCATCCACTAACGCTACCTTGTACCCAAGGGCCATGCTCTATCAATTTTAAAAAGGACAAATGAATTAATATACTTGTGTATCCAGATCGCCATGGTATTGAAGGGACATACGATACTAGTAGATACGACCACCCGTACATCGTCTTTCTACTCTCTCCTTTCTCATTATTACCTTCTGCTGTAGTCTGCGCAAGAACGTCGTGTGGACCGATGTAAGGTTGAACCCTGTCCGAAAAGTCGCGTTTCCCAACGCGAAGAGGACCCTACGCCCTCCCATTGGGTTACTCTTCAATGCTTCTTTCACAAGTCGGAGCACGCCTGCCACCGCCATGTCCATCTCTGACAACTTTGCCATTCTATGTTGGTATACGGCCTTCTTCCAGTCCGACGATGAGTAGAATCCATGAATGATCGGCTCCAACTCGAAATACTGCCGTTGCGCGGATTTGAGGGCGTCCTCTGAGTCGTATTTTGTTGAATGGAGCGCATTCTCAAGATCATGCATCGAAGGTAGAAAAGTTGCCCTGTTCTTGTCATCCGTCTTCCTCGTCCAAAGGCTCGCGTCGACATTATCTGCGGGACCGGCTGCTGGGTGTTGTCGCCTCCATTCCTGTTCCCATGCTCTGAAGGCGAGTGTTGGCTGATACAGTGATGCGCGCTTTACCAACAAGTTGACCACAGTTTTGTCATCGAGACGCACACAGAACGCACCGCTCACGACTTCGCCTGGATCGATGCCAATCACCGCCACCGACTCCAAGTCTTGACCGAATGCTTCAATTATCGACTGTCGGGTTGGGTACTGGTTCTCGATACGTCGTAGAAACTCCTTACGACCCGGCGCCTGCCGACTCTTGGTGAGGTCATAGGCCAAAAGTTGCAGCTGATGGCCGTCCGTGCGGATGAAATTGTTCAATGCATACCGAAAGGAAGACTGTGCGCCTTGGATGTGAGGAGGGGTCGGCAATAGTGGGGGGTTGGAAGGCGGCGGCACTGCAGATGCTGAAGACGATGACGACGATCCGGCCGAGATGGATGCATTGTGTCGGGTTCGGTAATAGTTAATTCGATCTGTCAGGTGTCGTGCAAGTGGTCCTTGGTCATAGATGGTGGGGTGGGCAGCCTTGAGTTCACTCATTGTAGCACTTCGTTTCCCGTATGTTGTTTGTTGTTTGTTTGCGAGCCGAACCGTATTTCGATCTCCAATGAAAAGCATCTTGATGAGGTTCCCGAATGACGTATTGACTTGTAGGTTGGCCCAGTCGTGGCTATGAGGGCTGCCGCTCCAAATCAATCCGACTTGACCTGCATCTCTTCCCCAAAGGATACGCATCAGTCCCTCCTCCCTAATGTCGATAAAGCTGTCTGCCATCTTGGACTGGGTACAGAAACGTGGTCGGTTTGCCGCTGGAAGTGCCATGAGATAGTTCCAGCATGATCGGATGTGTCCAGGCTGATAGACAATTTTTTTCGACTTTTTCCTGGGGTTCTCATCATCGGCATCATCGTCTAGAATAGTACCGTCATCGTCTAGAGTAGTGCCGTCATCACCAGGTTTGTCTTCATCCTCCTGTTCGACTTTTGGAAGTAGGGCGGGATCGAACTCCAGCTTCTCCATCTATTTTATTGCAAAAAGAAAAAAAGGCACAGTATTAGAATATGCAATACACTCTCTCCAATTATCAATGGCGCTTCATCAACGAATTGGGCGATTAGTACCTTTGTGCGTATAGTCTGTGGGAGCTTCTTGTAATGCAACTTCATAGCCAAACAGATCTTGGGCGCCAGATCATCGATGACAACACCGAGGGGTATGCTGGATGGGTTAACAGCCTTGAATCCCGGATGGAACCCCTTGAAGGCCGCAAAAATCGACACTGCCTCCGCCTGTGCTTCCTTCGACTTTGGCTTGTTGGCTGTAGGTCCTAGTGCTTTTGTCGAATCTCGGAGAACAAACGACAACAG